GTATTGCACTCCGTGCTTAATGTGAGCCCTCTGGTGGCTTATCACAGTGCAGAATTACTGATATTTTATTTTTAATTAATTAACTTACATGTCATATGTGGAGACATGCATGACATAGCATGTGATACTGTACTGTAACGTATTTGTGTGTCTACTGCACAATAAAGTTTTGGCAGCGCGAGTGACGCTAAAACTAACGTTGCTCCCAGTAATCATTGATCCGTTGAAGTATTAAAATGATTTTTTTATATACAATTACACATCTGTATAAATAGTTATAGAATTTTGTATTGTACGTAACGATGCCCAGAAATACTGCTACAAATGACAAAGTAAAGAAAATAATAGTTTATGAAGTTATTTTTTAAAAATATATTATAACGGCGGTTGGATTTGAACCCGTGACCTTTTAAATCCTGACGCCTTGCGGCGAGGTTTGTAAGTACAATATATATAAAAAAACAATAATTTAATTTCGATTGAAAGCTTTCGTGACTGCAGGGATTCATATTCTTGGTTCTTTCGGTAAAGTCACGTAGCAGGGAAATAAAAAATAATAAAAATTAAATAGTACAATTCTTACTATTTCTCACTATTTAATTGTCTATTTTTTATTATTTCCTTTCTACGTGACTTTACCAAAAGAACCAAGAATACTAATTAAATAAAAAAGGGGCCTAAGGCCATCGCGGTACTGAATGAAGCTACAGGCGGCGCGACACCTTCTCACCTCATGCTAGTGGATTGATTTTGAATGGAAACCCTCCTACGAATTTGGTGGTTCCCGGAACCGACGTTAGACCCCCTTAATAAAAAGTCGAGGGGCTAAGCCCAGTGCGCCACTGCGCCAGTTGATAACCAACGGCACCTCTTCGCCATATAACTGCTACATGTTCTCCGGCCGTACATCTTCGATGTATTAATCGCTAATTAAACAATAACACATCTGGTGTATATACTTTCAGAATATCTTGTTTAATGTCATAATCCCGATGAACACCGCAACAAATTACTAAGTAAATATGATTGTTTATAAGTCATAAATAAAAAAGTATTATTCAGGTTGGATTTGAACGCGTGACCTGCGAATGCCGCCGCCTTGTGGCTACGGTAGAGTATTGCAGTCCGTGCTCATGGCGAGCCCTTTGGTGGCTTATCACAGTGCAGCTTTACTGTGATATTTTATTTTAAATTCATTAACTTACATTTCATATGTGGAGACATACCGCTCCCCACATACATACACATACATTATAGTGATATCAAATTTGCTTGCGTTCACAATTATATTCCACATTTGTTGGACTTTTCCAGTGCGAACACAGATTATACTGCTCCAAAGTTCCTTTGCCCTGCAGTTCAGGCAATCTAAGCCTCGTCACGAGTCTCCATCAGCATCATAATTCGTAGCACTTACACCAGACATGTTGTCAGTTACACTAACACCATTAGTTATACTATTTTAATTATGCTACACCATTGCGTTCATGACATTGTTTTTATTATTTAACGGTTATTGTTTATGCGAATCTTTCATACATGTGTTGTTATTATGTACCTATGTTGAGCTTCTTTCGCACCGTACGTAGCCAACCGTGCTAATCGGATATGCGGGGTGAAAGGACAACAAACTTAACACAAAAAGCAGTTCTAAAATGTTTACATTTTTATTCCAAATTTCAAAGTGCATAGCTGTTTTTGTTTGCATTACGACTGCATGTATTGTGGTCTATGCAAACATGACTCCTTGTAAAAAAAAGGTGTCAGTTTTGTTGCCAGATAAAAGGGTAAAAAAACAATTATCACATTTTTACACTGGCAAATGAGGTTCCAATGGTGCATAGCTGCAATAGCTTCCTAATATCGGAAATAAGATAGGAAAAAAATTTAGAAAATCAAATACCACTACTTTCATTAGTTTAACCAAAAACAATAATCTTATATATTAGCGTGTTTTTTATATTACTTTCATTTAGCCACGAGGGGCCTGGGTGGGTGAGATGGATTACAACATGGTGATTGAGGACAACCATTAGTGCTACACAGCCCCGCGTCACGTTTGGACAATGCCCTCTTCAATGTCAAGGTCACGGTGTGGGGAAGTGGCACGCCACCCGTCTGGAACTGGGGAGGGGGAAACATGTTTGGTCGCTTAGGAGCAACACAATCAGCCCGCATTGTCACCGGCAAAAAACCCCAAACAGTGATTCGATGCGTGCAGTCATCTCTCTACAAGTCCCGCATTAACAATTGCATCGGCACTCAAGTGAACATAACTTGTTGTTCAAATCCCGAGTGTAATTGCAACATCACGCGGGCGGTTTATACTTTGAATGGGAAGCGAAGCTGCGTAACGCACCGCGCGCACACATCCCGAAGCGATGTCGTACTGTCTCACGCTGCTATTGCTGCTCCTGCAGTCCCCACCTAATCCTAATCCGCAATGATGAGGACACATAACCATTATCCCCGTTTATCCTTACAGCCATTTGGGTCACATTCCTTACGAGCCAAACGAGGCTGACTTCATGCCCGAACGCGGCGCACTGACTGAAGCAACACAGTTTTTGTACATTTATTGACAGCATCAGAATTTTTATTTTGTAATCTACTCTAAACGCGCGTTGAATCACACGGATATTTGTGTGTGTGTGCGATTCCTTAACGTGTTAATAAATAGAAGTTGAGACATCGCTGGCCTCAAACTCACGTGGCTGTTGTGACAGAGCAGACACCGGAGCAGCGAGTGTCTCCTTTGCTGTCAGCCACTGGCTTCTGGAGTTCCAATTAAAATAGCAACAACAACTCTTACTACTCCACTGATCACATGCTCGAGTCAATAACCTGACTGCCGTGTTATCAATAAGGTGTGTGTGAATTGTACTCTCAAAGGGAGCGGTGGTGCTGAGGTTAGCGCGTTGCGCTACGAAACTGGCGACCCGGCTTCGATTCCCGCTCACGGCCAGCACCGGTGACGATGATCTGAACCGGTCCTGGGCACCCCCTAGGTCGACTCAGCCTCAAATGAGTAACCTGGTGCGGTGTGCAGTAAACATCGCCACTCGGGAGACAAAGGTGGCCGGGCGTGGTGCTGGCCACCCACACGCCCTTCGTGTGCCGTGCCGCCTTCATAGGTGCTGCTCGCTAACAGCACTTGCTCCTTATTCTCTTGATGACCTGCAGTGTTGAGGCGATTGTGGTTCTTAGATTGTTGTTGTCATACCCATTGTGACTACAAATGTAGAGTATGTAAAAAATTACCTTCAAATAAATAGCATCAGATAGTAACTAGCAGTTAAAAAGTACAAAAATTAAGTTTACGGGGTATCATCCTGCGATGAATACCACAACTTTCAAAACAGGTACAACAACATCTGACAGCACATACGATAACATTAACCTTAATACATTAATACAGAACAGACACGGAGTGTAAGTGCGCAAGACGAGTTAAAAGGTATTGTCAAAATAAGATTGTTAATTTTCTTCATGTTCGATTGACAGATTATTGAAACAAATATATATTGCTCAATCTTGCATGAAAAAGCACAGCAGAGCAGTGTGGCTCCCTTGCAAGATCCTCCCAACAGCTGTATCAGTCGTGGGGAATTGTTTGACCATACTTCACCGCGGGGGTCCGTGTGGGATACTTCAAATGAAGGGATCGGGTCAGACATGGCTCGCCACTGGTGTAAGCCGTGGGTGCTGGGAATCGAATTCAGGTGTCACAGTCCACACATAGCCACTGCTGCATTATACCTGGTACAGCCTCAATGTCATTTAGTCGCAGTTGGGCGTAGAAGGGGGGCATTCGCAGCTATGGCAACAAACCTACGGCGTGAAACTACGAAGTGCAATCTTCATACTTCTGTAGTTGGTACAAACGCAGTGCAAAGGCGCCGGAGAATCACTACCAAAAATAACCGCGTCCAGCAAGGGCTTGGATGATGTTAGTTTTATAGCCATCCTTACACACTCCCTCCACTTACAACTTTTTTCACCAAAAGCATCTTACATCGGCTGTAATGGCAACAACAAGCGAGCCTACACACACGGCCGTCACGGTTGCTTCAGTGATACGACTTTGTGAAGTTTCATGTTCTCGGTGAAAACTGTATCGCACACACACACACTGCTTTGCTACTTTTCAAAGGTTATTTGCATCATGCACGGTACATCAATGGAATGCGGTGCGTTGCCACTAGAATAATTGTGAAAATCATGGGCTTATGGTCGGGGTGTAATCCGAACTGGTTGTTGTTGTTGAAGTGGCTACTGTGCCCAAATGGCAGTCACTCGTCGCCCTTGAGGGCAGACCCCAGTGACTTGGCGTGCCGACTGTTTGGCTCGACTCCAGGTTTCGGTGGTCTGTCTCCTATGGCGCTGTCTTCACAACATTCAGCGACATGCAACGATACCTATACATCTCGCCACGGTGGCGAGATGTTAACTACCTCGCCTGGTATGCAGGCGGTCGTGGGTTCAATCCCGACCCTGACGCCTGCTGTATAGTTGGAGTTTGCGTGTCTCTCTCCTCGTGGTCCGGTTTTTCCTTCCACATTTATAATTATGAACACGCGTTTCGAGTATTTGGCTGCGATAAATGTCTACGTGATAAGCCACTTTGTTGAGCTATCATTATGACCAGGTCACTTCTGAAATAGAGCTATATAGCTCAGTGGGCCTTACCTAGTAAAATATTTTTTTGTTATAGTATAGTTAATTATATACATTTTAAGTGCAGCATGTTAAGTAGCAAAGACTGAAATGTGAAATGTAATTACTCTGCAGAAAAATTGTATCTGTTAACTGTGGTTAACCTTCAGGGTATTATGTACGGCGTGTGTGTGTGTGCCTCATATAACACAGTGTACCTTTAAGTGGTGTATATGTAGTTCTCAGAGTCTCCACTTTGGCAGCTTCAGAACCCAAACCGGGTAACTCGCATGAAATGGATCGTGCAGTTTCCAATCACGAGCCAATCCGATGGTTAACATCCCCAGTAGAATACCACGCCATGTTCAAGCACTTTTCAAAACACGAGCCATTGAAGCCCAGGGGTAGAGAATACTAAAAATGTTAACCACATTCTTTATTCATGCTAAGAGCGGTGGTCTTAAATATATTTGCTGAAGACTTCTGCAAATACAATCACAAGCCTGTTTTATTATTGAATTGCACCCCAGCTTGACAGAAGGAGGCAATTCATGCTCTTGATTTTCTAAATCCCTTGTTTCATGCATCACACGTGGGGCTGGGTGGGGGGGGGGGGTCACAGGGTGCAGGTCTACCGAGTGTGCCACTCGAACGGAGAGGCAGGATGCGTGGTGTGGCAGAGGGTTCCAACAGCCCCCAACGCTGGGGAATGATTCGCCTCGGATCTGTGAATGCGCAGAGGGTCCTGCAGTTTTTAAAACATTACTTTTAAAATATATTTTTTAAACATTTATATGCGTATGCATGTTGACAGCTTTTGCATCTTCAGGATTTACCATCTCTCTTTTACAATTCGTTTTTAAAGTGGTTTTGCACACGACCAATGACTGAATGTTGAGGGTAGAATGTGGGGGGGGGGGGGGTGAGAGACCTCTTTCAATCGTGGTGCGAACCGAAGTAGCGTCTTGAGCCACGATGAGGTGGAGGTGTGGACTGGCGCCCTCCTGCACAGGCCCTGCTGCTGCTGCTGCTCGTGTCTGCTGCTCAACAGACGGACCACACGCGAGCAGCAGGACAAAGAGGCCTTGTGCCCCACATTAGCCCTTTACTCCACCCGACGATATTTGATCATGTGTGTTTGTCATCTCATTGCACAGTGGTTTTCAGATGTTGCCATTCCTGTTATTTTAGTTGTATAGGATTGTACACTTATTAACCATATTATATGCATTTCTAACGAGCAGTATTTAATGTACGTTCAATATTTATTTGATGGTTGTCTCGTACGTGTGTATGTTGAGCTTCTTTCGCACCGTACGTAGCCAACCGTGCTAATCGAAGGTGTGTAAACGATGTCTTATTTCATGATTTATTTCTGTGCAGCTCCTCGAAGCGATTTTTATTGGTAAAAGTGCCAGATTTAAAAAAAAAAGAACGTTTCATTGATTGTCCTCGTCACAAGGGAGGAGGCGACGTGGATCGAGATTGTACCACTGGTGGCTGTGTCATTTACACAATATTGTATTCAACACATTACATTGTAATCCGTCATACTCGTATCTGCCATCAGAAATGTTCAGGCTACACAGTGTGAATAATCTGCCCAGGTCATACATTCTGCAATCACATCCTGCTATATATGGTCTTCAAAACAGTGTACACGTATTTTAAGTTGTATGACCACATGCATTGACAGCAGCATTGGGTTATGTCACAGTCAATGCTTCAGTGGGAGCTCATTAAAGGATAATGCACGTTTCAGTTTCAAGATAACTCACTGTGATATACAGCATGCGCAGATCCGTGAAGAACATTTAAATAATAATAATAGGATACTGGTGCATAATAGTAAATTAGTTGAGCTGTGAACACCGAAAACCTATTCTTATTCTGCATCATAGTTGACACTGGAAAAAAGGTCCCATCGATATAACTGCTGGACCCGAGCTAGAAGTGTTCTGATACTTCCATTGCCTTGGAACTGTTCACCCTTTGGCATTCTCAGGTCTCACACTGGTGGTGAGACCAGGCCATACCCCATGAAGAAGGCTGTCTCTGGTGTAGGCCAATTAGTTTTAAGGACAATGCAATTATGATCAGAGCATGTTTATTTGCATGTTTTGCCACAAATATCTGTGGTTAATGCAGACTTGATGCCTTGCAAAACGTATCTATTTTGGTGTTTGAACATCTTAACACCTCCTGTTTTATTGCCAGGAAAGATAAAATCTCTTCTTATTTTTCATCGTTTTGATACGGAAAAAAAGGTCCCATAAATACCGACAGCCTCACTGATCCCCCCCACGTTCGCGATGCGTGAGGTCATCGCCGTCCTTGTACCACCGCGATGTCTACGGTGCCTCCCACTTAAGAGCGCGAAGCCACTTGCTGAAGAATGCGAAGCCAACTCATTCCCACCGCTCTGCCCACACCGCGTGCCTCACCATGAGCGTACATCCAGAGTCATCCTCATGGTGGTGGTGATAATTCCTTTAATATCCTCCTTTTGTGTTGCAATCACTCGCCATATCTCAAACACCTCTAGTCAAATAACAGCAACTTACTATTGAGCGGCTAAGTTAGCATCTAGCTCCTTAATAAAGGTATTTTTTTGGGTTAGATTGCATAAACATAAGTGTGTCGTTAAACCCACCACTACCCTACACAGCCAATGAAAAAGGTTTGTCCTTGATTCCCATATTAATATAGATACTCATGCATAAAATACCATTTTCTTTAAACTCACGAATTATTTATCTTCTCTTCTAAAGGAGTTTCCAAGCTCTTTATCTGTATGAGTGTGCTTGGTTGCCCAGGAAAGCCTCCCCCATCTCATGACTCTTTGCAGGAGGCTCCTGCCAGGGTTTCTCGGGGGCGATGCTCGTTTTGATAAATACCAATTGAGTCATTTGCGGGTATTTTTTTTTATTTGGCAAAATTTGGACCATGACTCTGGCACACACAATGGTCTACTATTGCAAAATATGTCACGGGAACTTTAACGTCCACTGTGAAAACAGATGGCGCTTCAGTAGTAACCAGGGCAGCCGCTGGAGTCGAACCGTGAAGCTCTGCAACAAAATCTTGGCCTGCTAAAAATCAATGTGCCTCTTGAACCCTATCTCATAGCCCCTCTCCATTGTGGACATTGCAGCCTGAAGATAGATGAGGACGGCTGGATGATGGTTAAGAGGTGAAGAAAAATAAATGAAAAAATGTGTAGAGAATAAGTGGAGAAAAAGGGGAGGCTAGCATTAGCTGGGATTGAGTGAACAATGGTAAGTGAATGAGACCAAGTAAGTGGATGTAAAGTATATATATAATAAAAATAGACGTGATTTATTATTATTATTTTATTTTACATTTTTTGTTTTCACATGACTGCATACAGGACTGTAACTGAAAGATACTCGCATTGCAAGCTCAGTTCCGACACAGTGATGCTCTTGGTGATGGTGGTGACAGCGGTGGAAGTGATGCATTACTGTTAATCATCACTTGATGAGGCCCTGGGCGAGGCTGGCTTCATCCAGAGTGTAGCTTACATTGCTCTTGTCAGTCAAGAGTGTTTCCCTCATTTTCTGGTCAGTACACGTGGGTCAACTGATGGTGTCTCCCGCATTGTTATAATCAGTAAATGTGGGTCCATTAAAGGTGTGTCTCGCATTGCTCTCGTCAATGAACGTGGGTCCATCCATGCTGTCTCCCACATTGTTCTCTTCAGCGAATTTGGATTGACCCATGGTGTCTTTCGAATTGGTCTCATCAGTGAACGTGGGTCCATCGATGGATTCTACCACATTGTTCTCGTCAGTGAATGTGGGTCCGTCCATGGTGTCTCCTGCAGTGTTCTCGTAAGTGAATGTGGGTCCATTGATGGTGTCTCCCGCATTGGTCTCATCAGTTAATGTGGGTCCATCCATGGTGTATCCCGCATTGTTTTCGTCAGTGAATGTGGGTTCAATGACAGTGTCTCCCGTATTGTTCTTGTCAGTGAACGTGGGTTCATTGATGGTGTCTCCTGCATTGTACTCGTCAGTAAACGTGGGACCATTAATGGTGTCTCCCGCATTGTTCTTGTTAGTGAATGTGGATCCATTGACAGTGTTTCCCGTATTCTTGTCAGTGAATGTGGGTCCATTCATGGTATCTTCCGCATTGTTCTCATAAGTCAATCTGGGTTCATGCATCCTGTCTTCTAAATTGTTCTCGTCAGCAAATGTGGGTTCGTGAATGGTTTCTCCTGCATTTTTCTTTTCAGTAAACGTGGATCTATTTATGATGTCTCCAGCATTGTTTTCGTCATCAAATGTGGGTTCATCCATGGTGTCTCCCGGATTGTCATCAGCGAATGCGGGTCCATTCACGGTGTCTCTTGCATTGTTCTCATAAGTGAACGTGGGTCCTTCCATGTTGTTGCCCGCATTGTTTTCTTCAGCAAATGTGGATAGATCCATGGTGTCTTCCGCATTGTTCTCATCCGTGAACGTGGGTCGATTGATGGTGTCTCCTGCATTGTTCTCTTCAGCAACAGTGGATCGATCCATGGTGTCTCCCGCATTGTTCTGATCCGTGAACGTGGGTCCATCCATCCTGTCTCCTGCATTGTTCTCGTCATCAAATGTGGCTTCATTCATGGTGTCTCCCGCATTGTTCTCGTCATCAAATGTGGTTTCATCCATGGTGTCTCCCGCATTGTTTTCGTCAGTGAATGTGGGTTCAATGACAGTGTCTCCCGTATTGTACTCGTCAGTAAACGTGGGACCATCCATGGTGTCTCCCGCATTGTTCTGAGTAGTTAATGTGGATCCATTGATGGTGTCTCCCGTATTGTTCTTGTCAGTGAACGTGGATCCATCCATGCTGTCTCCCGCATAGGTCTCTTCAGCGAATTTAGGTCCATTGACAGTGTTTCCCGTATTCTTGTCAGTGAATGTGGGTCCATTCATGGTATCTCCAGCATTGTCCTCATAAGTCAATCTGGGTCCATCCATGCTGTCTTCTAAATTGTTCCCGTCAGCAAATGTGGGTTCATCCATGGTGTGTCCCGCATTCTTGTCAGTGAATGTGGGCGTGCCATCACCAAAACTGTATTGTCCGAGTGGGTGTGTATTGTCACCTCTGGGAGGGTGTGGTCTGTATAGTTGTGAGTCGTCAATTCTAAAAGGGCGCTGGCCCAGAAAGTGCATCATGTTGCCTGTGAGAATGTGTTGTCGCTCTGGATCTGTATTGTTACTCTTGACACGGTGTTGTCTGTGTGAGTATGTACTGTCAAGGAGTTGTTTGTGTTTGCGTGTACTGTCGGGTCCATTGATGATGTCTTCCGCATTGTTCTCGTTAGTGAATGTGGGTCCATCCATGCTGTCGCCCGCATTGTTCTCTTCAGCGAATGTGGATCCATTGATGGTATCTCCCGAATTGTTCTCATCAACGAATGTGGGCCTATGCATGATGTCTCTCACATTGTTCTCATAAGTTAATGTGGGTTCATCCATGCTGTCTCCCGCATTGTTCTCTTCGGCGAATTTAGGTCCATTGACAGTGTCTCCCGTATTCTTGTCAGTGAATGTGGGTCTATGCATGGTATCTTCCACATTGTTCTCATAAGTCAATCTGGGTCCATCCATCCTGTCTCCTACATTGTTCTCGTCAGCAAATGTGGATTCATCCATGGTATATTCCGCATTGTTCTCATAAGTAAATCTGGGTCCATCCATGCTTTCTTCTAAATTGTTCTCGTCAGCAAATGTGAGTTCATCCATGGTGTCTCCCGCCTTCTTGTCAGTGAACGTGGGTCCATTGATGGTGCCATCACCATAACTATATTGTCTGAGTGGGTGTGTATTGTCACCTCTGGGAGGATGTCGTCTGTAGAGTTGTGAATCGTCAATTCTAAAAGGGTGCTGGCCCAGAAAGTGCATCATGTTGCCTGTGAGAATGTGTTGTCGCTCTGGTTCTATATTGTCACTCTTGACACGGTGCTGTCTGTGTGAGTATGTACTCTCAAGGAGTTGTTTGTGTTTGAGTGTACTGTCGGGTCCATTGATGATGTCTTCCGCATCATTCTCGTCAGCAAATGTGGGTCTATTGATGGTGTCTCTCGCATCATTCTCGTCATTGAACGTGGGTCCATTGGTGGTGTCTCTTGCATTGTACTCTTCAGTGAACATGGGTCCTTTGATGGTGCCATCACCTAAACTGTAATGTCCGTGTGGGTGTCTATTGGGACCTCTGGGATGATGTCGTCCGTATGGTTGTGAATTGTCAATTCTAAAAGGATGTTGGCCCAGAAAGCGCATTGTTTTGCCTGTGAGAATGTGCTGTCTCTCTGGGTGTGTATAGTCACTCTTGACACGGTGTTGTCTGTGTGAGTATGTACTGTCAAGGAGTTGTCTGTGTTTGTGTGTACTGTCGGGTCCATTGATGTCTTCCGCATTGTTCTCGTCAGCGAATGTGGGTCGATTAAAGGTGTCTCTTGCATTGTACTCGTCAGTGAACGTTGGTTCATTGATGATATCTCCCACATTCTTCTCGTCAGCAAATGTGGGTCCATTGATGATGCTATCAGCAAAACTGTATTGTCCACGTGGTTTTGTAGCTGCACCTCTGGGAGGGTGTTGTCCGTATCGCTCTGAATCGTCAATTCTAAAGGGGCGTTGGTTAAGAAAGCGCATTATGCTTTCTTTGAGAATGTGCTGTCTCTCTGGCTGTGTATTGTCACCCTCGACACTGTGTCTACGTGGGTGTGTAGTGCCACCTCTGGGAGGGTGTCGTCCGTATGGTTGTGAATCGTCAATTCTAAAAGGACGTTGGCCCAGAAAGCGCATTATGTTGCCTGTGGGAATGTGCTGTATCTCTGGGTCTGTATAGTCACTCTTGACACGGTGTTGTCTGTGTGGGTATGTACTGTCAAAGAGTTGTATGCGTTTATGTGCAATGCCATGAATGGGTCGGTGTTGTTTGTATAGGTTCGAATCAGCGTATCTACGGTGTTGCTTCAGAAAGTGCAATACGCTGTTTCTGAGACTGTGCTGTCTCTCTTGGGGTGTATTGTCACTCTGTCGTGTCTGTGGGTGTGCTCGGTCACAGGTGAGGCTATGTTGTCGGTGTGCATGTGTGCTGCCAAGAGCGAGATTGGGCCATGGATGATGTCTGAGTGGGTGTACTTTGTCAACCCTCAGAATGTGCTGCAGGTATTGTCTCGGTGTAAGATCACTATCAACCCTGAGAATGGGGTCCAGGTGTTGTATGTGTGAGTGTGCATCACCGCTTCTGAGATGGGATGGTTGCCAAACATGGTTTTGTGCTGAGTGTACATTTCCTGTCACCATTTCTCTGGAGGTCTCTTCGCTTCCAGTAATCAGATTGAGTAAATGTTCAGTGAACCTGTCTGTCGATTTGTCAGAAGATCTGTTCGAAGATCTGGCTATAGAACTGGTCGAATAGCTGGTTGTAAGCCAGGAAAAAGATCGGCTGGTAGGTCTGGCTGTAGTACTGGTGGTAGGTGTTGTTGTGAGTCTAGTAATAGAACTGGTTGTAGGTCTGGCTGTAGAACTGGGAATTTGTTTTGTGAGTCCAGTAACAGGTCTGGTGGTAGGTATGGCTGTAGATTGGTTGGTCGGTGCTGGCTCCAGCGAGCACACTGGCCGGTCGATATTGGCCCTGCAGACCTCATCCTAGAGGCCGGCGGGAGTATCGACAAGGGAGAGTGTCAGGGTTGGCAAACATTAGGTATGTTATAATTCATTAAGATAGAAGCTTACACTCATTTTTCATGCATTCATTTGTGTCTAAGGGCTATAAAATACGATTAATCATCATCAATCATTGTATAGCCACTGCAGGATGAAGGTCTCTGCATGTCATCTCCATCCGTTATAGTCCTACCATACCAGAATTAATCCAGCTCCCTCAACTTGAATTGTAAAAAGGTCTCGCGACGTCACTAAAGTGCCACAATGATACACCGCTTACTATAACTTGAAAATAAATGATGAAGTGAACCTCAAACTTGTGTGGGACATCTCGTGATGTACATGCGACATGTGCAGATCCTATGATAAGCACTGTTTTGAATTGGTCAGAATACTGTAAATTCTGCTTGTACAATTTAACAGAGCAGTTCAGTTAAATGGTCCTCCTGCACACATTGATTCACTGCAGTTGCTGTCTTACTTCTTTATCACTCTTTAATGGGCACGACCAATCATTGTGCCCAGGAAATTCACACATTGATGCCCTTCCTATCAAGATGACAATTTCCTGGTATCCCTACTGTGTCCAACAACTACACTGCAGGAGATTTAACATTCTCCTGTTCTCACCTGTTCGACTGAGGAGTTATTTTCTATCATCTCTTTCACCGAGTTTCTACAAAGTTGTTCAATAAAGTCTATACATCTCATCTTATCTGCTGTGCCCTTAGTTTCTGATTTTGGAACTCCCATTGTTTATTTTCCCAAGTTCTTATAGACTTGCTCTATTCCAAAAAGTCGGTCGGTGATTTCTTGCTCGAATGAGCATTGGGGCGATACTATGTGTTGTATTTATCATTCATGTTTTGTTGCTGGCTGCTTTGCATTATGGGGCTTTAGGCCTGTGTTGAATATAGACAATAAAATATTTTTGATTAAATTGTGCCTGTTCATGTAAACACCCGATGTGGAGCTAGAATTCGTTTTAAGTATTTTTTTAAAGATCACGTGCCAATCCAAAAACCCCATTTAATTTGCAATCCATACTCAGTGTGTGAATAAAAAAAAATACTATTAAACTATAAACATAACAATGTTTATTTTCCCAGGTAAGGCCCACTGAGCTATATAGCTCATTTTTAGAAGCGACTTGGCCACAAATGACAGCTCAATGAAGTGGCTTATGTGGAAATTTATAGCAGCCAAATATGTAAATCAGGAGGGAAAAACCGGAGGACCCGAAGAAAAATCCACACAACCAAGGATAGAACATGAAAACTCCAAATATACAGGCGTCAGGGTCGGGATCAAACCCACGACCTCCTGAATACCAGGCGAGGTAGTTAATATCTCGCCACCGTGGCACCCCACGAGGTAGTTAATATCTCGAAGCAACCTGCACTCACCTGGGGGAGCCCGACCAAATCAGGCCGCACAGGTGCATCGCTGGCGCACATGTACAACGCCCGCTCACACTCGTACAGCACCCGCTCACACGTCGTGTTGGCCTCCCGCTCCACTCTTTGCTTTTCCTTCACAGTCATCTCCTTCAACTCCTCTGTCACGGCCTCCAGCACCTCTACCACGGCATCTCGGGTCAGCGTGGCCTCCGAACGCTCGTCGGCCTTGCGTGATGCCGCAGGCCGATGTGTCTTGCAGGAGGGCTGCTCCTTGAGTTTGGCCTCGAGCGTTTGCAGGCCACTCTCCGACTGGCAGTAGTCGAGGATTGCGGCGCGGGCACAGCAGTGGGCCATCTTTAGCCACGGGGATGAACGAATGGACCAAGGAACATGTGGGCAGACAGGCAGATGTTTTAGTATGAAATTGGTGAGAACCTGGTATAACTAAATGAACTGAAACAAGGAAACTTCGTTTCTTTCTCACAGCTCTTTGTCAATCCACTTATGGATGAAATAAATAAGAAGATAATATGCCTCCTTGACATATCGCTCCCTCCACATGAATATAAAAATGTTTCAACACATCCCATTATCTACACGGCATTCTGTGAGTGCGTAATTTAACCAGCATAGGGTTGAACACAAGCAAACTCTGGACCGGTCTAAACGTACAATGTATCACCACAAGTCACGCTGGCTTAAACCAATGCTGGTGATCTACCAGATGTTTATCGGGTAAGGATTTTTTAGATATGGGTCCTAATTCTATGAAAAATCATATAATACATAAATCTATATCATGAGTGTTTTTGTGAGAGACAATCGCAAATGCGGTTTGGGGAGGCCTTTATCCATCGCCCCAACGCAGCATCGGTGCCTCTCTCACTCACTCTACGAATTACCCCCAGCCAAGCCTCACCATGCAGCACAAGTCCAATTCGTCCTGGGGCTCTGCGTGGCGGAATCTCGCGTGGCAGAAGCACCCGTATCCGGAGGAGAGGTTCTTGGCGACGTCCACCTGCTTGCACCGCAACATCGAGAGGACGGACGCGCGGCCTGCGCTCTCGCGCTGTGCCACGGCCACATTCAGCAGCAGCAGCAGCGGTGGCAGCAACAGCAGCAGCAGCCTCAGCGACAGCTTCTGCGAAAAGATGGCGCCATAGCTGGAGGTCGCTTTGCCTCGGGTACAACTTGAGCGTGAGGACGTTTCCATCTGGAGAGAGAGAGAGAAGCGGCCACAGAGTGGTTAGGTCTAAGTCATTGGAGTGCTTTATTTTATTCCCAATTATATCCCAGTTGGCTCAAATGGCTGCCGCACACCGTGGTATGCGCAGATAATTTTGAAGTTGTTGCCACACCATTTTCGATTTTACAAGGAACGACACGTCCAATAGTTGCTCGTCCTTAGTGAGCAACTGGGATAGAAATTTACAATCAGAGATCATGTGACCACCCAACACTGTGTACTCTTAGACCAATCCCAGGTAGTCAACACCTTTTTACCAATCTCCATTTGCCTCGGCTACACAGAACCCTGCTGCTCTACGCTATTGCATAGAGTTACCATAGTTGCTCATGTTTGATGCGTTGCTGGCAACAGTTGGCCATCTCACTGGCATGGTCACAGAAAAGTGGCACGTGCACAGGGGCTCACATAGTTTTATCTCAAGTTTAGAGTAAAATGACAGGAAAATTAACACACGTATTTCACGACACCAACAGCAGTATGATTAGGATGAAAACATTTACATAGTACCATTATGATAAAAAAAAAACATTTTTTATCGTATGGACAGGCTGCCTCTTATAACACCATTTCCTTACGAGGCTCTGTCCTGGAGGAAAATTCCTGAACGATTCAAAATTCCTGCGCGAGAACACGCGGCATGCAACACTCCCTGCCTTCTCCGAGCCGCTCGCTCAATCAGTGAAAGAGAAGCGCACGCTCAGTGGTGCTGAGCCAACCAGCGCTCCCGCCTCTGCCCGCCAGCCTTGAACGCTTCCCGTGGAACGTGTGTTTGGTTATTTGACCTTTGGTAACAGTTTTGTTGCTTCATCCTGATTGCAATTTTGACCCACAATGTCTGGGGAAAAAGGCCTGCAAGTGATAGTTCTGGTAATGTGGCTAAACAAAGGAAAGGCATCAGTATGGATGTAAAAAATAAGGTTATACGATGTGCGGAGGTAGGAGAGCGTCCGGTTAGTTACACTAGTGAGTACATAACTTCTTTATATTTTTATGTCATTGTTATTCAAAGTAATTTTTATTTATAAAATGCTTTAATACATGCATCATGTGTACAGTATCATTAAGGCTATTATTTCATGTCATCAAACCCATGTCCGATTTCAAATCTCGCAGTTTTATTTAAAAAATGTAGGGCAATTGTTGATGATGAAAAAAACATTTTACATTTAGTGTATGGTGCACTCATTGGTCATCAGTCTGAGAACCCCCATCGTCACACATCGTCACAAATGTCTGCCTCCCCCCGAGGTGCCCGTGGTCGAGACTGGCGAGGGAGTCGCTGCCAAAGGAGGTGCAGAGCCCCTGAGACGTCCACTGAGGAGATGGAGCAATGAAATTAGCTCGCGTACACCTGCTAGGTCGATTGTAACATCGCGGGGACAGGAGAGCTCTCGTGACTGCAGGAATCCATACTCTTTGGTTCCTTCGGTAAAGTCACGAAATAAAATAAAGTCACAAATCATATAAAACAAATCACGACGTTTCGATCGCTTGTGTTGCGATCGAAACGTCGTGATTTATTTTATTTCTAACTACGTGACTTTACCGAAAGAAACCAAAGAGTATGAATTTAACACGAATTTATGTAATGAATATATCACGTCGCGGTCTGCTTTTCGCTTGCAAGTTTCAAATTTACTGAAATACACCCGTCCTTGGACGGGCAAGAGGCTAGTTACATAGTTACACGGCCGTGATTGGATCCTAAAACCGTATTCTATAACAACTCCACGCAAAAATCTAACCGCTATGAATAATGGGCAATGCCAGAAACGTCTCCCAATATATTCTCTTGTGTGTTGAGTTTTTTGTACAATGTGATTTTTGTTGCAATGACTAATAAAAAAAAACGTTAAAGCAAGAGTGCAAGTCTGTGTCGTTACGAATGTAACTGAGACTTGACGCCCGAAATTAAGTAAAAAGTCGCGTGAATGGACAGGGGAGTTTGCATTTGAACGCGCGACCTATCTACTGCCGCCGCCTTGTGGCTACGGTAGAGTATTGCACTCCGTGCTTAATGTGAGCCCTCTGGTGGCTTATCACAGTGCAGAATTACTGATATTTTATTTTTAATTAATTAACTTACATGTCATATGTGGAGACATGCATGACATAGCATGTGATACTGTACTGTAACGTATTTGTGTGTCTACTGCACAATAAAGTTTTGGCAGCGCGAGTGACGCTAAAACTAACGTTGCTCCCAGTAATCATTGATCCGTTGAAGTATTAAAATGATTTTTTTATATACAATTACACATCTGTATAAATAGTTATAGAATTTTGTATTGTACGTAACGATGCCCAGAAATACTGCTACAAATGACAAAGTAAAGAAAATAATAGTTTATGAAGTTATTTTTTAAAAATATATTATAACGGCGGTTGGATTTGAACCCGTGACCTTTTGACTCCTGACGCCTTGCGGCGAGGTTTGTAAGTACAATATATATCATCCGGTCACTGACTCAATCACCCTATCACACACTCCTCCACTCGTTTACTCAAACACTCACCCATTTACTCACCCACCCGCTCACCACCATGCAGGTCACCTCACTCTTTTCAGCTTTATCAGTTTACACTGCTCCACTCTGGAATCCCCACCCGGTCTTCCTATTTCCCCAAACTCTTGCAACAATAAACTTGATCAATTTAAGAAACGTGTTGCTATGATCTTAATTATCTAATTACTCATTGGACAGTTATGTATTATTTTTTGTTGTTGCTGGCCGCTTGGCGTTTTGTATTGTGTGGAGTTTGCAGAGCTGGCAACCCCTTATCATTGCCTCTCTTATTACAGACCAATTCAGACCTTGTTGGTCACCCCGTGCCCCTTATAAATCTCAACGTTCATCCTACAAAGTCCCATCACAAGGGAGAAGCACACACAAATAGACAACATAAATGTTGCGCGTTTTTAAACGGCTGTCTGCCGTATGGACCTGAAAACTCACTTCCCCCCAACAGAATACGGGTAAACCGTGTGGGTTGACAGCTACGGGTTTTGTTGTGTTTGCAAGTCCAAGTTATAGGAGTGCACCCTGGGTTGTGCGTGGTTCTCATTGGTGGGAGATTCCCTTCGCTGCGTTGCACGCCAGTGGCTGGGGGCTGCCTGGGGCCTTTGACGTGTGAGCCCTTCCCAATGTGCACCGTCAAACATTTATCGCTCGGTGACCCCAGTGTTTATTGCCCGTCTACACGTGGATACCTGAAGCCCATGTCACTCCACTGCTGGATGAGTCCCACAATGAAGATACAATCAGTGCATCCACTTTGTTTTTGCACTCTACCTGTTCCATTGGCGGCCGAATGCGAATCTAAATGTGCATACGTTGGAGACTGGTTTAGGCGCATAGAAATCAAACCAATTGACCCATGACCTTTTCCCCATTAACTTTTGTAGAATTGTAGATGTGCATTACAGCTACTTTAGCCGGGTGGTTGTGGCTATGTATGCCTGTAATCCACGACTGCGTGGAGGTGAGGGTTGGGGGATTACAAAAATGTTGCGAAAACTCCCACCCCGTTGGTCGTCAAGGAGGTAGAGAAGGCGGTATCGAAAAATGTGGACTCCGCCTGTTCCATCTCTTTTTGTGATAGAGCGTTGGCCCCCCATTTGCTTGGATTTCTCCAGGTGCTCCGATTTCCTCTCACATGTAAACACTCATTAATCTTGATTTGAAGCTTTCGTGACTGCAGGAATCCATACTCTCTGGTTGTTTCTGTAAAGTCAAGTAGGGAGAAAAAATAATAATGGTTCACGACGTTTCGATCGCCACACAAGCAAATCGCAAGTTGGCACAGTCGGGGGCACAGGTGGTGCATCAGCCACTCATCTCGGTCATCTCAGTCAGTCGACCCGTGGCACCTGCTGGGTCTGCCCCGTGACCTCGTGCCAGCGGGCCTTCGACACTCAACACGTGGCAGCCTCAACGTGCACCTCGCTAATGTTTACTCTTTTACTCGCGTTTGTGTTCCTCGTCTTTGTTGTTGTTGTTAAAGGTGAGGTGAATAATGATGATGATGCGCGACGTGTGTATTGATGTATACGCGCAGTTTATATGTTTAAACGTGATAGTAGGTTAGGCCCCAGAGCCCTTTTTTCCTAATGAGCTTTTTATGCACCAACCTCAATTATTGCGCTTTTGTTAATCATTAACATTTAACAGGAATAATTTACTTTAGATAGCTGATCAAGCTACGATATTTTGCACAACAGACGATGGCAAAACTGTGGATATTGTGCGATATGTGCCACTGAAACCGCAAGAACTCAATAATGACGACTCGTGTTGAGTGTTTAATCTGCAAGCAATGAGCCCACCACAGGTTCGGAAATGTTTGAATGGAAACAGTGAAATTAGTGAAAATCTTTTGCTTTGCCATTTGATTTAAAGATACGACTCTTCAAAGGGCTTTGGTTGTAGTTAGCAATATTTGAATTTCTATTTGGTTCTTTCGGTAAAGTCACGTAGAAAGAAAATAAATTAAATAATAGAATTCGACGTTTCGATTGCAACACAAGCAATCGTCATCAAGTAGAAAACAAACCGAGTGAACTTAGAAATACAATGCAACGCAACACAGAGAGTCGGCTAACACAACAGTCAGCACCTCGCCTGGTTGATTACATTCTTCCAAAGATGACTACATTTGAGAGAGAGACAAAACACAGCCAGAGAGAGACACAACATAGACACACTGTGTGTCTATGTTGTGTGTCTCTGTGTTGTCTCTCTCTGCTTGTGTGTCTATGTTGTGTGTCTCTGTGTTGTCTCTCTCTGCTTGTGTGTCTATGTTGTGTGTCTCTGTGTTGTCTCTCTCTGCTTGTGTGTCTATGTTGTGTGTCTCTGTGTTGTCTCTCTCTGCTTGTGTGTCTATGTTGTGTGTCTCTGTGTTGTCTCTCTCTGCTTGTGTGTCTATGTTGTGTCTCTGTGTTGTCTCTCTCTGCTTGTGTGTCTATGTTGTGTGTCTATGTTGTGTCTCTGTGTGGTTTCTCTCTTCTTGTGTGTCTGTCTGTCCCCGTGTCTGTGTTTTGTCTCTCAAATTTAGACATCTTTGGAAGAATGTAATCAACCAGGAGAGGTGCTGACTGTTGTGTTAGCCGACTCTCTGTTGTTGTATTGCATTGTATTTCTAAGTTCACTAGGTTGTTTTTTACCTGATGACGATTGCTTGTGTTGCAATCGAAACGTCGTATTCTATTATTTAATTTATTTTCTTTCTACGTGACTTTACCGAAAGAACCAAAGAGTAATTTCTGCAGTCACGAAAGCTTCAAATCAAATATTTGAATTTGTTTAAAGGAACTGTATTCTCTTACATGTTTTGTATTCCTAGGCATTAAATGTGTACTAAAGATTCAGACTAATTGTAAATATAATGGGACCACTTTAATCGATGTCCGTTAATATTTGTAGGCGTGGTAAGGTTTCGAGACGCACTTGGCGATGTGAATGAGATGGGGCTGCGTGAAATGCAGTCCGTGTTCTTCCTCGTCCATTTGCCTTCATTCAAACGTCAACATTTGATCTGCCTGTCTCTGTCATTAAGGCCACATGGCCACAGTATCTCTTAGTTCTTGCAAGCTAAGCTGGAGTCATTCTCTTTTCGACATATGTCCCACCAAATTCTGTAATAATAATGTTCCATATTCTTGGTTCTTTCGGTAAAGTAACGTAGAAGGGAAATAATAAAATAATAAAAAATATAAAACAAATAAAATTCTCACGACGTTTCGACTGCAACACACACCTGATGATGATTGCTTGTGTTGCAGTCGAAACGTCGTGAGAATTTTTATTGTTTTATATTTTTATTATTTTATTATTTCCCTTCTACGTGACTTTACCGAAAGAACCAAGAATATGAATCCCTGCAGTCACGAAAGCTTTAAATCAAAATAATATTCCAGTTTCTCTTTCTGTTTTTAAATATATATTTAAATAAATATACATTTAAAAAATCCACAAATCTGGCTGCCTCCTGATGATACTGGTTGCAATTACTGGCGAAACGTCGTACTCAGATTGTAAATGTTGTGGCTATGCTCTAACACACAACCGGTGTGCTGTACTGGTAACGAATTGGCATGTTCTGTTTAAGTGACAAACCTTACTAATTAGCTGTGTCGGGTGGTGGTGGGTTTACCGACATTTATATATTTACGTGATCTTACCCAAAAAAAACCTGTATTATGTAAAAATAGATTTATTTTCCCCCTTTCTTTTTGGTTAGTTTCAAATCTCTAACGCCTTTCAAATTGTTCTGATGTACATTTCAAATTACTGTCATGTTTGCAACGGGTTGTATTGCTTCTTCCAGAAATCTATTTTCCCGAGTGGTTGTGCATTTGTCGCTTGTTTCAGAGGTTCGCGATTCAAGCCCAGGGGTCGCCCTCGTTAATACTGCGGGTGTATTAATAAAAACTGCATTTCCACAAATAATGTAAAAACAAAAAAATCCAGTGATATTATTCATAAATGAAGAGGACGTGTGCCGGTGTCACCATATAAATTTGCAAATCTCTGAAATTACTGGATTGGGTAAAACCACATTTATGTATGGTGAACTTCTTTCGTAGTGTACGTAACCAACCGTGCTAATCAGAGGTGTGGAGGACAACAAACTGAACACAAAAAGCAGTTTTAAAGAAATTATTTTCAATCTTTATTTAAAAGTGGCTTCCTAATACACTGGTCAACACACTTTTTCTGGCATAAGGTATTCCAACGGCTTTAAGGTAATTTTGGGGTGCTGATTCCAAATCTGGCATCCGTTTTTGTCTATCACATCAGGTTTTTGAGATATCAAATATTGCATTTTCAATCAAAACTGCAGAAGAAAAATATTAAATAAATGTGGATATCTACATAAATTATATTATAAACACACTATCCTAAAAGTACAGCACCATATTTTAACACTAAAGCAGTCACTGACTCGCAACAACTTTAATTTTGGGTAAAATTAATGAAAATGGGGTATGCCGATGTGATAGAGCAAATCTGAGATCAGATTTGGAATCAGCACCCTGAACTTTGTCAAAAACAGCTGCAAAAGTCCAGGCCAGAAAAAAATGTTTTTTTTTTGTTGACCAGTGATATCGGAAGGAAGAGCATTCCAGTTGGCCGCAGAAGCGAGTGATGCGGTGACTGTCTTTGTTAGATGGCTCGCCACAAGCCACTGCTGCTAGGATGATCCACCAACCCCATCTCTCGATGGCAATCGTGCATTGCCAGCACACCTCGCATTCGCCGTTGAACCACTCGTCCATCACGTGTTCCATCATCGCAGCTACATCATTGCGCTGCACCTGTGGCCACCACGGTTGCTCACTTTGCTTTGCTTGTTTAGGTGATCGGCAAGGCCAGGAAGGCGAGCGGGAAGCGTTGGACCGTTATCTGCCTCGCATCGAGTGCGACATCAAGCAGGAGGTGGAGGGCCGGCTACACAAGATCAAGAAATACCTATTGGAGTCATTCCCCTTGCCAGGGACGAGCGCCAATCTTTACCGACAGTTCACGATATAGCCGGTGGCCGAGATGGTGCTGCATGTCTTCCAGAACGCCGAGGACATCTTTGTGAATAAGCTGAAGAAGGTGGGGGCCATGGCGTCTGGACTTAATGCAACAAAATTACCGTGCGAGAAAATTCATGCATCTGCTTAGATTTGTCAAAGATTTTCCACAATACATTTGTCCTCGGAATTATTGAATGAGTGATAATCGCCATACGTTTCAAGTCTGTGGATACTTCCACCAGTTTCAAAAGACTTGCTCTATCACACGTTGAGACAAAAGTAAGAGTGGGCATTGAAATCGGTCGGACATCTATGCATTCATCACCTTCTATTTGCCCCAACAGTGTGATATGGAACACGTGGTTTGGGTCCTTTGTTGTCTCCACCGACAGTGTGTGCAGGACTGCCTGGGGCAGGTGAAAGGGGACACGCTGGCCCGGAAGCTGTTTCAGTTGGCTCTGTACTGTGGCTCGCTCGAGACTCCCCGTGACCTCGTGGTCAAGGAGAAACCGGCCGCGTTTCTCGGCAACATCAGCACTCCCTACACCAGACTGCCGCCTCCTCCGGAGAGTAAGGAAACAAATTTGCATTTACAGTAGACTCTCGATTATCCGGGGAGGATGGCTGTGGATGATTAAAAATCTCGGATGATCCAAAAATACGTATTTTCTGCGGATCTTTATGCCAAAAACTAACGATCGACCGATCAATGCACGTGCGCGGTAATAACACTTTCCTGCTCCCGAGCAGAAGACTCTGCCCTCTAAGTGGATAGCAGAACCACGCTAATCACCATCAATCAAACTCTACCCACTGTTGTAAAGATATGCATCTACTTTACTGTCGGGGTGATCACATAGATTTCGGATTCCTGGGAGCACATATTTGTTCGATTTAAGAATGTGACTTGTAACAAACATTTCCAACAATTACATTGTATAACTATTTTTAGATTATTAATTTGGGCCTAAGGGAAAATCCATGAGTTATTAATAAGTCAAAATCTCGGGTGCGTGGTTAATCCGCAAATCAGATAAACCGCACGCGGATAATCAAGAGTCT